CTCTCTATGATGTGAATATTTGTGCCTCCCCAAAATTCTTATGTTGAAGTCCCAACACCCAATGTGATAGAGTTAGGTCATGAGGGCAGAACCCTCAAGAATGGGATTAGTGCCTTCTTAAAAGGGACCCCAGAGAACTCCCTTGCCCCTTCTGTCATGTGAGGATGCAGCAAGAAGATGGCCATCTAATGATCCAAGAAGCGACTCTCACTAGACATGGAATCTGTTGGTGCCTTGCTCTGGACTTCCCAGCCTCCAGAACTGTGAGAAATGAATTTCAATTGTTTATATGCCACCCAGTCTGTGGTATTCTGTTATGGCAGCCTGAACAGACTAAGACAGTCCCTTAGACTATTGCTATTGCCCCAAACCAGACTCAGCTTCCCTCAACAAGGAAGATCTGTGGGGGATGTGTGGAAACTCCTCAGTCCCTTTATGTCATGGTGGGTTCAGGCTTTAGATGCCGTATTCCTAAGGATAGATTATTCTTCGCCAAAACGCACTACAAAAATGTAGCATATGAAGCCTCCCACTTTGTACTCCTGCACAGGAAATGGCCCCTCTGGGGGGATCTGGGGATCAGTGACCCAACCTTTCTCTGACAAGGGGTATTTTGTATTCCTGCAAGGAGTGTTTCAGAGCCGTCTTCTTTTGGTAGGGTCCAGATTGGGTCCAAGTGAAAGTTCACTTTCCCCATTGCTTGAGGAAAAGATGATGTGATGCTGCCTCTGGCCCTGGGACACAGCAGGCAGGGCATGGATGCCTCCTGGCCAGCAGCCTGGATCTGCAGCCTCGCTTGGCCGCTGGTGGCTTTACCCTTGGGCAAGTTGATGATTTCTCTGCACTCAGGGTCATGACAAGCATATGTTCCTGGTACAGAGCAGGCACTCAGTAAGGGGTAATGTGGTTTGAACTGTCATCCGGTTGAACATGACTACGGTGGCTGCAGGTGCTAGGGGTGCGAATGGACAGTGTTTCCCTTAGGCCTTCCCTCCTGTGATGGGCTCTAGCGTGCAGGAGGAGCTTGGCACTTAGAGCAGGCAAGCATTGCTGGACTTCACCCTGAACCAGTCCCCTCTCCAGGACCTCTTCTGCTCCAAATGTCTCACCCTGAGCTGGGCCTGTCTCCAGGACCTCTCTGCTTCCCGCCCTACCGATCCCCTCATTCACACACAAGGCCCTGGCTGTTGGTTGAGGCTCCTGCTATCATTATAGCCCTGGATCTGAAGCCCCCAGCCCAACCTCCTCCTGAGGACATGTGCCATCTCAAGGCTTCTTTGTCCTTCTCAAAGCTGCAATGCAGACATCTTGACTCTAGTTCTACATGGCCCACTGCTCCCTTCCCAGCCCCGTGCCCTCTGTCTACTTAGTTTCTGGTCCATGTCCCCTTGCTGGCTCTGCCCAGAAGCCCTTTCAAGATCCCACAGCAGTCATAGCATTTGAAGGACCAACAGATGAGTGGGAAAGTCCTGTGGTCCACCCAGAGACAGTGCCCTGCATGGACAGGCATCCCTCTTGGTTTTAGCCCAGGCCCTGATCTAACCATGGCCCCAGTCCCGACCCCAGCACCATCTGGCATCCAGGCTGCACTAGAGAATCCAGGATGTGCAGGGAGGCCCTGGGCGTGTGCTGGATGGGAACTTGAACTCTGGAGTCTGACAGGCCAGGATTCCAATCTCTGCCCTGCAGTCTTCTAGCTGCATGACCTTGCATGACCTGAAACTTCCCAGGCCACCGCCTTCTCATCTGTGAAATGGGGGTAATCATTTAGTGCATCAGAGTTAATATGAAGATTCACTGAGACAACACTATAAGATGGTTAGCCCAGCACCTGGCACAGTGACTGCTGAGTAAATGGTGGGGTTTATGAAAGGCATACAGAGCTCTGATGAGGGCATCTCCATCTCAGCTCCTTTTTTAAATTGGGTATCACATATATGCAGTTAAATGTACAAGGCTCAAATATTCAGCTCAGTGAATTTTTATACAGGTATGTACCCATATGAACACTCAGATCAAGACATGGGACATTTTCAGTACCTCGGGCTCCTCGTCCTTCTCTCAGTTGATAATACGTCCCCCACCTCACCCCAAGTAACCATTATTCTGACATCAGATCAGTCTTGCCTGTTTGGGAACTACATATAAATGGAATTATACAGTATGTACCTTTTTGAGTCTAGCTTCTTTCATTCAATATTATGTTGTCTGATTGACCCAGGTAGTGTGTATTGGTAATTCATTCTTTTTAATTGCTACATACTATTCCATTGTACGAATATACCATAATTTATTTTGTTTTACTGTTGATGGACATTTGTGTTGTTTTCAGTGTAGGACTATTAAGAAGAAAACATCAATGAACATTTTTGTGCATCTGTTTTGATGGGCATAAGCTCTCATTTCTGTTGGGCATATACCTAGGAATATAATTGTTGGGTCATGAGATACACCTAAATTTTCTCAGCTAATTGCTTTATGCTACTATGCCAAACATTGTTATAAGTACTTCATGTTCATTATCCAATTTAATCCTCAATCCTTTAAAGTGGGCGGTCCTCATTTAGCAGGTGAGTAAATTGAGGCAGAGCTGGGAAGTGCCAAAGCCAGAATTCTAGCCGAGGGTGTGTGTCTGCAAGGCCCACAGTCTCAGGGCCTACACTACCCCGCCTCTTCTCATAGACTCCCTTGAGGGGTAAGCAGCACCAGAGTCAAAGGTGCCAGTCCCTCCCCTGAGCTGACCGCCACCCCATGGGCTGAACCCAGCCTCTCAGCCTTCCTCTCCCTGCCCTAGTGGGGAGCTGCAGGCCACAGGAGCCCCTGCCTCTCTCCCTCATTCTCAGAGTGAACACGCTGCCTGCAAGTGGGTGTGCAGAGGGGCGGTAACGAGCGTGCTCTGGGTGGCTGTAGCCGCGCGTTTCAACAGTTGTTCTCATTGGCTTTTGATTCCAAATGAGTAGGAAATGCTATTAGTTCAGGCCTCGCCTGCCGCATGGCAAGGCCCTGGAATAGGAGTGCAGTGAGACGAGAAATTGTGGAGATAAAACTGGTGTGAAATGGAGGCCTTCTCACAAGGCTGGATGTGTCCGTGCGAAATGAAGTTACTTCTGAGAAAACGAGATTTAAAGAGATTCTGCAGAATTAGATTACACTTTCAAATTTCCTTATTAAAGAGGATTGATGTCTAGGAGGGGCTGCTGGTAGGCTTGGTTTGGGATCCTACTCTGCAGTTCCCAGGCCTGGGTGTGGGCCCAGGCGGGCAAAGCACCTTACAGGTGACAGGGACTCAGACCCCCAGGACCCAGAGAGTGAGTCTCCCCACCTCCAGAAGCTGAAGTAGGCATGAGGATTGTGGGCCTGAACTTCTGGGTAATGTCTGATGTTGCACGTGGGTCCATGAGGGTAACAATAAGGATTCATGCTCTTCCAATTCCTTCCATCTTCAGGTCTCTTACTTGTGGGTTTTGTTGAAATCAGAGCTTGATTCTAAGGGCTGTTCCACTTTTTGACACTGTAGTCTTTTAAGAGACTAAACGTGCATGCAGCTGCTTGTGCATATGTGTGCATCTGTGCATAAGTATATTTACATGAGTGCACCCAAAAGCGTGCTAATACACACACATGCATGTGTGTGCTTAGACGCATGGGTATGTATTTTCATGCAACTTACTGAGCACCTACTGTATGCCAGCACTGTGCTGGGAACTGAAATAAAACTGTTGTGGGGAGAATAAAACAGATACAGTCCCTCCTCACATGGACCTAGTGTATGTGTGTGATCACGTGGACATGGGGAAGTATTTGTGTGCTGCTGTGCATGTGTCCTGCAGCTGTGTGGTGAGCATCTGCATGCTTTTCATGTGTCTCCTAATCTCTGTGAAGTCTCCTGCTTGGGTCTCAGACCCCCTCAGCGTGCAGCCCTGCAGCACAGCCCCCCTCAGCATGCGGCCCTGCAGCACAGCCCCCCTCAGCCATGCGGCCGTGGCAAGCACAGCCCCTCGCATGGCCGGCCTGCAGCACAGCCCCCTCAGGCATGCGGGCCCTGTCAGCACAGCCCCCTCAGCATGCGGCCTGCAGCACAGCCCCCTCGCACTGCGGTCCTGCAGCACAGCCCCTCAGCATGCGGGCCTGCAGACAGCCCCTCAGCATGCGGCCCTGCAGGCACAGCCCCCCTCAGCATGCGGCCCTGCAGCACAGCCCCCCTCAGCATGCGGCCCTGCAGCACAGCCCCCCTCAGCATGCGGCCCTGCAGCACAGCCCCCCCTGGCATGCGGCCCTGCAGCTCAGCACAGGAGTCAAGTACTTGGGCCCTAGTGATAGACTGCCAGGGTTCACAGGCCAACTCTTTCTCCTACTAACTGTGATCAGTTAGCAAGCTTTCTTGTGCCCCAGTTTTCCCATTGTGAAATGGGGGTCATAATGGTTGTGGGTACAGCTCTTGGAGGCAGAGCACTGGGAGGTGCTCAGTCACTGTCATCTCCCTGCAGATTGCCCAGTGCAGGCTCCCTGCTGGCCCCAGAGGAGGGCTGGGGTACCCATGGTGAGAAAGGGAAGCCCCAAAGCTGCAGTAGCAGCTGTGTTGTGCTGTGTGAGCTCTGGAGAGGGCCTGCAGCTCAGTCTCCCCAGCCCAGGCCAGAGAATGCCTGGGTGCTGGTTTGGAACCAGTATTGAGGCTTGTTGAGAGATTATGAGAAATACCAAGGGCCATGCACAGTGATTCACACCTGTAACCCCAGCACTTTGGGAAGTTGAGGTGGGAGAATTGCTTGAGCCCAGGAGTTCGAGACCAGCCTGGGCAACATAGTTGAGACCTTGTCTCTAAAAATAAAATAAAATAAAATAAATTCCTCCCCCAAAAATTTAGCCTGGCTTGGTGATATGTGCCTGTGGTCCCACCGACACAGGAGGCTGAGGTAGGAGGATCTCTTGAGCCGGGAGGTTGAGGCTACAGTGAGCTGTGACCACATCACTACACTCCAGCATAGAGATAGAGGAAGACCCTGTCTCAAAAAATAAAAAAGGCTACACCTGCCTCCAGGGCTCTTTCCAGAGCAGCCAGAGGGTCCTGCCCTGGAACTGTCACCCTCTGCATGGCCACAGCAACTGCTTCCCACACGGCTGGTCACTGGAACAGCCTGTTGGACAGATACGGTGGCTTCCTTCTACACATACTTGCACTGACCACTAGACTGGCCTTTGGGTGGAGCTGGACTATGGCCAGTGCCAGGGTGACTTTAACCACAGTAGAACAATCAAATCAGTTTGTTGCTCCTCAAAATAAGTGTCTCTCACTATCCTGTCCCATACATTGAGGAGGGCGACACTAATCAGAGTTCACATTTTACTGTGGCCTTAGGCCTTAGCACATCACATAAATTAACTCCGTTCTTCCTCATGATGACTCTGAAATGAGTACTCTTTTCACACCCATTTTACAAAAAAGAAAATCGAGAAAATGTGAATTAAGGTCACACAGTCAAAAGTGTCAGACAAACCCACATTGGGAGATATTCCATGAAATGACTGGCCTGTACTCTTCAAAAACGCCATTGTCTTGAAACACAAAAGAAAGGTTTAGGAATTCTTCGATGTAAGTAGACTAAACTTGACAACTGAATGCGATGCAGGGCCCAGGATTTTTCCATAAAAGATATTTTTGAAGAAATTGGTAAAACCTGAATGAGGTCTATAGATTAGATAATAATATTATGCCAATGATAATTTTCTGGTTTCAGTTATTGCACTGTGGTTATATAAGAGAATGTCCTTGTTTTCAGTAAAGCATTTGCAAACCAGAAGTATTAGGGGATATAGAGGCTTCCTGTTTGAAACCAACTCTCAAATGATTTAGGGAAAAATTATAGGTAAGTTGGTAGGAGTAGGTAGAAAGATGGTGGATAAATCAAATGTGGTAAAATGTTATATGCAGGGAATCTGGGTGAAGGGTTTACAGGTTATTTTTTCTACTATTTTCTAATATTTCTAATATTTTCTAATATTTTTCTACTATTCTTGCGAGTGTCAAAATTATGTCAAGAGAGAAAATGTTAAAAGAAAAAGAAAGCAAGTGCTGAGCAGGGATGGTATCCTGGGGTGAGTGTTAATACTATCAGTTCCTGTTCACTGTGCCCTGGGCACCAGACTCTGTGCTATGGCCTCATGTGCATAACCTCATTCTATCCTCACCACATTCTGAGCGGAAAGAGACCATTGTGGCCCCCAGTACACACATGCTAGTCAGAAAGGTGGGAGGATTTAATCCAGGTCCCCCAGCTCCTTGGAGCAGTTCCCAGACTTGAAACTAGGCTCTCTGATTTCAAGGTCTGAACTCTTAGCCTCAGTCCCGCTCTTGACTCTGACCTTTTGGGGAGAGTGGGCATGGGCAGGACAAAGGCATTTCTGCCTGGAGTAGTACAGAGTGAAGGCCCTGGGACACAAGCAAAGAAGATCTATTTGCTGGAGGGAGAGGAGCTGTGTTCCAGGATCCTGCAGGGAGCAGAGCCAGCAGTGCCAAGCAGGACACACTGGCGTGTGGGAGGGGCTGCAGATGCCCAGTGGAGTTGCCAGGGTGTGGCTACAGTGGCTCCAAGCAGGAGAGCCACAGGAAAGAGCCTGGAGTGACCTGGGACTGGGTGAGGTCGATGTTCTGGGCTGGAAGACTGGCCTTGGAGGAGCTCACTGGGGTAGGTGTCCCCCCAGGGTGCCGTCCAAACCAGAGGCACTGGTAGTACTGGAACCTGTGGGCTTGGCAGTTTCAGAAAGTCCACGTGCTGGAGCTGAGGGGCAACTGGGCTGGGACAGGTGGGCAGGAGTTGCTGGGGACTTGGGTCTGGCCTAGTGGACTACTCTGGGGTCCATGTGAAGATGAGGGCATTTCACCTCCCTGCTGGAGGAAGAGAGTGGGAGGGGCAGGATGACCTCTGGCAGTCCCTCCCCGTCACCTGGACTGTCTGGCTTTCCCCCAGATTAAAGAGCGGAGGGTGAGTGTCTGGCAGCCAGATGAGTCAGACTGGGAGGCTTCTCTCCGAGCCTGGCTGCCTCCTTCCACCAGCAGCCCTGCCTCCACCCCCTGCTAGAGGTAGGGGTTGGAGTTCAGCCTGTTTCCCCTCCAATGTCGTTCCCCCCATGTCCTGAGACTTAGGGGTGACCCTGGGTTGAGTGGACTCGTTTATTCTGTTGGGCGCATGCATCTGAGTGTGTGCCCAGGTGTGCGTGTCGGCGCAAACATCATCCGTTGTAAAGTATCAGTGTTTTCATGGGTGAGTAGTAATTACTGGGTAATGCTTTAAAACCTTTCCTGAAGGAGCGCAAAGCCATTTTTTTCTAAAGTCAGGAGTACATTAAAAGGATTACCATGTAGATTTGATTTTTAGATAACACTAAAATGGATCCCAAATGGACTTTAGCAAAGGGATGCTATCTCCTTAATGGAAAGTGCATGGCCCGAGGCTCAGGTCCCAGAGTCAGGCTGGGGAAGGAGGGAGGGAAGAGGTGTCTGCAGAGGGGCAAGCTGGCGGATTGGGTGGGGGGCTAGGTGGGAATGGGGGAGGCAGAGCAGGAGGGAGGGCCCTGACCCTGTGGGGAGCTGATCCCTCCATCTGGGGAACAGGAGACTGCAGAGCCCCTCCTGAAAGCCCTTCCACCTTTCCAGCAGTGTTTTCAAGCCTCCTGGATCAGCCTGGTGAGAGCAGACACAGCATGGATGCCCCATGAGGAAGGAAGGCTGTCTCCACTGTTTTGTTTGACCCCCCAGAGCTCTTCCACTCTCCTGTGAGAAGCAAGGGATTGCTTCACTTTTTCTTACAGGCAGATGAAGGAAGTTAGGCCGAGAGAGACCGGGGGATATGCTCTGGACCCCATAGCCAGAGGACTGCAGACCTGGAGTCTGGTCCCAGGCCCATCCCGTGGTGCTGTCCTGGCTCAGGCTTCCCCCAGGATGCCAGCCTTTCTTGCCAGGAGGTCTCTAGACCCAAGGGTCTCTAGATGCTCTGGGGCCTCCTCGGTACACTTTGGCAGAAGCTGTGTGGCTTCTATAAGAGTTTTCCAGAGCCAGGAATCAGTTCAGCATCCCGGAAGAGGGGTGTCCAGGTCTTAAGGTAACCTGCCTGTGCAGAGGCCAGCCTGGGCACAGGCAGCAGGGAGGGGGACTTGTGGCAGCTGGTAGCTACACCCCACATGGCTTCCACAGGGCCCTGTAGGTGCCAGATCCCTCCAGTGGAGAGACTGTCGACTAGTGCTGGAGTTCTCAGCCCTGCAGGAGCCAGGACAAACATGCTAGGGTCCGAGCTTGGAAGACCAGCCTGTCCAAGAGCCAGGGTAGATGGAAGAGAGAGTGGGACAGCTGCTTCAAGTGCTGGGCTCTCTCACTGTCTCCCTTCATGCTGGGCTATAATTTAGTGGGCTAGGGTCTCCCCTGAGTACAGAGGTTCCAGCCATTCACCCATGTTCTGGTAATAACCCAAATATAGAGTCCTGGGAGGGGCTCAGGACCGCTGGGAAGGGAGCCAGGCCTGCCATGAGCCTGGCTGAGCAAAAGGAATGTGAGCCTTGTAGGGGCTGTAGTGGGGGCCTGGCCCAAGATCTTCCCAGTCGGTTTTTGAATGCATAGCTCTGTTGGCTGCACGCTCCCTGCACAGGGCCTAGGGACAAAGGTCCTGCCCATGGAGCCCTACCCTGGTCCAGGTCCTACCCTGGGAGGCCCTCATTTCCCCATCCAGCTATTTTAACTCCTCCCCCATGTCCCCACACCTCCCTGTAGGCCAGGACTTGGAAGGAGCCTTGCAGACCCCTTCAGTTCTCAGGGGTACCTGCTCCCCAGCTGCCCTCCTTCGGCTCTTTCAGAGCTCTGTGCCAGCTGGGCCCTGCTGGAAGAGACACAAGCAGGCCCGAGGACAGAGTCATCCTGTGCCCCATCCCTCTCTCAGACCAATTAACCTTTAGAACTGCATTAAGGAAATTAGGCAGCAAACTCCCCAGCTAACAGACAGGCCCTGCGGGGACTGGACGGAGGAGGAGGAGGGAGCCCACTGGCCCTGCGCACTGCAGCCTGTGGGTGAGTGTCTGCTCCCCAGCCTCACCTATCCAGGAGAAGTCTGAGGAGCCAGCTGGGCTGACAGTGAGCACAGGAGAGGGGAAGGAGCCCTGGGGCCAGCTTGACGGTGGCTGACTCAATGCCCTGTAACTGTCTGAGCCTTAGGTTCCCCATCTGTAGAATAAGAGCATTTAACTGGAAGAACTCTGAAGGCTCTTCTGACCTTACATCTGTGGATTCTGAGACCAAGGCCTCTTGTGGCTGGTCCTCCCCTGATGCCCAAGGAGGGGGGAAGCAAAAGGAAGGGAAGCAGCCTAACCGTTCAGACTCTGGGTTGGGGGCAGTGAGGAGGGCTGGGAATGGGAGGGACACCAGGGGATGGGAGGAAGGCCAAAGCCCTGCAGAGAGCAGGAACCCTTTGGAGAGGACAGGGCCAGTAGAAGGACTGACTCCAGGGGAGTGTTGGAAAGCCGGGGAGGTGAGGAGGGATGGGCCCCAATCCAGCCTGCACCTTGGTCAGGAACAGAGCATGCACACCCTCCCTGTCTTCACAAGGATTCTCAGGCAACTCCCACAGGCCTGTAAAGTCACAGAGCAGGGCTTCTGAGGTCCTCTCCACTTCCCTCCCAGCCTCACAGGTCCACATGGATGTCCAGGCTACTGGACGACATCTGTCCCCATCTCCTCCTCAACTGTCCCTGTGGTCCCAGGAGAAGGGAATAGGAATCCATGCCTCTGTCACTTCATGCCCACACCTGCACATCGTGCCTGTGTGTGAGGGGTGTGCGTGGGCACACATGCTCACCTGCTGCGATGGGAGGCTCTGCTCTGTGGTGAACATCATGTTGGGCCCTTTGTACTTGGTGCCTGTGTGTATGTTGGGAAGCCAGTATGGGTGCTGGGAGGTGCTGATGGCTGAGAGATCCTAATCCTGGCAGAATGAGGAAGGATCCAGAGGCTCAGAGCCTGCCCTCCCCCAGGCCAGGGCAGGTGAGGTATGAAGCATTCCCAAGGAGAGCCCCAGCCAGGCCCTGCCAGCTGCCCCCTCTTACCTGCCAGGAGCCCCAGAGCCTCTGCTCCCTCCTGGGAGTGTCCCAAGAGTGTCTCACTTCCTTCTTGATGCCTTCACAGCTCTACATGGATAGACCAAGAGGCTGTAGCATTTCAGCTGGAGAAACATGAGTTGGCAAAAAGATCTGGGGGTTCTAGAGGATCTCATGGGCCTGAGGAGACTACATTTCTTAGGCTTATTGCTGAAAGAGCCAATGCGATGGTGGCTTCACATGGCGAGCTTCAGGCTTCTCCGGGCGAGACCGCACAGGGGACAGAGGCCAGGGTGGGGAAGAACAGCTCAGGGAGGCTAGACCTGGGGTCTGTGCGTGCCTTGGAGCACAGCAGCCTCTGGAGGGGCCTTCACAGGACCAGGGAAACAGGTTGTGCCACGCAGCCCAAAGGGCAGGACCCAGAGCCAGGGAAAGAGGTTACTGGGGAGAAAGCGAGAGCTCCTGGGAGCCCCAAACCTAGAGGGGGCAGCAGAGAGAAGCAGTGAGCTCCCCATTCTTGGGGGATATTCCTTGAGGCCCAGAGCTACGGGGCCCATCCTGCGTTCCTGTCTGTCTGTCCGTCTGCAGGCGTGCCGATGCTCTCCGTTCAGCCCAAAGGGAAGCAGAAGGGTTGCGCGGGCTGTAACCGCAAGATCAAGGACCGCTATCTGCTGAAGGCATTGGACAAGTACTGGCACGAAGACTGCCTCAAGTGTGCCTGCTGTGACTGTCGCCTGGGCGAGGTGGGCTCCACCCTCTACACCAAGGCCAACCTCATCCTGTGCCGACGCGACTACCTGAGGTGGGCTGCCGACCCCTGGCCTCGCAAGCCCTTGTCCTGCTCAGAAAGCCCCCTATCCTCAGCCCTAGTGTAACTGTGCCCCGGCCCTAGACCGAGTACCCTGTGTGCCCCCCCATTCTTGACTGTCCTGCCCCTGCCCTGCTTGCCCCAGATACCTGAGGGAAGGCCCAGGTCTTTATGCCCTTGGACTCAGTGCTCAGCACAGGTTCAGGGCAGGCATTTGTAACCTGGGGCTCCTAAGTTAAGCTTTCCGAGGGCCCCAGCTTTGCTCCCCCCCACCACCCCCCACCCCCTGCCTTGGCCAGGTGCTTCTGACCCACCTGATCTGGAATCTGGGAGGGGATATTTCAGAGGGGCTTTGAGAACAGGTGTGGAAGCTTTGACTTCCCCGGGCCCCTCCTCCCTAATGCAGTCTTCTTCCCTCTCCCAGTGGCCAACTTTCCTTTCCAGGTGGTCCTTGGGAGCAGGCGTCCATTTGCCCAGGGAAACTGGCAGGCAGCCATATCCTAGGAGCAGGGCCACTGATGCTGGAGCTTCAAGACCTGGGTTGGAACTAGCTCTGAGCCTGTGGCTCCTAATCTTCTCCTAGCCTCAGTTTATTTCCCCGCGAAGGGTGAAAGAACAATGCTTCCCTGCCTTGCATTCCTCTGAGCTCTAACTCACCCTCCCTACAACCTGGATCCTATTCCCTGGGGCTGCCTCCCCCAGTTAACCCTCCCTGAGGCCATTTACAACATCAGCAAGGCTGGAAGGAGGCCACAAAGCAGGGCCTTGGCTGAGACCCAGCACCTGCATTTGGCTCTGTCGCAGGCTGCTGGATGGTGGCCGGGCTTGTGGGGAAGGAGGGCTCATCGCATTCATTAACAGGTCAGGGCAAAGGCTTCATGGGGCTCCCTCTGCCTAGGTCTGGGCATGTCGCAAGGGGGAGGTTATCAGTGGAAGCTCCCCCACTTCTCCAAAGATTCTTTGACTGACCTGCCTGCACCTTCTCTCTTAACACCTGCATTTAAAAGTGATGTAGTAAAACAGAATCTGTGACTCAATGCTCCTTGCCAGGGCTGGAGGGGAGAGGCTGAGGCCAGGAGCAGGGGTTAAGGAAGAATGTTCAGACTAGGCATGGTGGCTCATGCCTATAATTCCAGCACTTTGGGAGGCCAAGGCAGGCAGATCGCTCCAGTTCAGGAGTTCGAGACCAACCCTGGACAACATGGTAAAACCCTGTTTCTACAAAAAACAAAAAAACAAACAAAAAAAAAGAGCCAGGTGTAGTGGCTGCACGCCTGTAGTCCCAGCTACTCAGGAGGCTGAAGTGGAAGGATTGCTTGAGCCCAGGAGTTTGAGGCTGCAGTGAGCTGTGATCGAGCCGCTGCACTCCAGCTTAGGTGACAGCAAGACCCTGTCTCAAAAAAGAAAAGAATGTTCCTGGGGATTCACCCCTTGAGGACCTAGAAGGGGCCTCCATGTCTGGAGGTTTAGGGCATCACCTGGGGGCTGAGCCTACCAGGTTAGGACAACATGGCAGACCAGCTGATGGGTCTACTTGACTTGGAGAGAGAGGCCCACAGTGCAGAATGGGCTTATCAGGAAAAAGCACCCACAAGCATACAGGGCCCTGCCAGCTACTAGGGATGGAAGGTAATTTTTTTTTCCTCTGGCAGAGGCAAGGAATGACTGTAGGACCAGCTAGACCAGTGGGCTGGGATGGGAGCGTGGCTTCCTTGAGCTGCTCAGGCCGGGAGAATGGCTGTCCAGAGCCTGCGCCCTCTGCAGCAACTGTTCCTGGGCTGATGGCAAGAAAAGCCCCTCTTGGCAGGCAGATGCTGTGGCCCAGCCTTTGTCTGCCTTAATCTGAGCCACCAGGCAGCTCAAGCTGATGAATAATGGAGCCAAGCTCATCTGCAGGCGCCTCAGCTTGAGCTGGACAAATTGGGGATTAGAGGGCCCCCCTCTTCTCAGCCTCCTTGCCTCACTTGGGGCTTGCTCTGTCTGTGTGTAGGAAAGAAGCAAGGAGGAGCTGGGATGGCTCAGACCTTTGGGACATCCAGCCAAGGGCTGGCCTGCATGGGGAGGGAGTAAACTCCCTGTCCCTAGAGCTTTACAGCCAGCAGATGAGAGGAGGGATGCCTGCCTCAAAGAGGCATTTGTGCCAGATGTCCTTGGTGCTTCCTTTGGGCATCAGTTCTGTTTTACAGCATCTTTGAATAGCATCATCCATCCCTATTTTACAGAAGGATAAACTGAGGTTCAGAGAAAGGAAAAAAAAAGGGACTTAGGCAAGTGAAACAGTGAGTTTGTCATGGAAAAAGGATTTAATAAAACACTTTAATTTTGGCAAGGCACAGTGGCTCACGCCTGTAGTCCCAGCACTTTGGGAGGCTGAGGCAGGAGGATCATTTGAGGCCAGGAGTTCGAGAACAGCCTGGCCAACATAGTTAGACCCCATCTGTATTTTTAAAAAATAGAATAATAAACACTGTAATGTCAAAGGTGGGAAAAGCACATCACACAGTAGTTTAGAGCATGCCTTCTGGACCAACGCCCTGTGACTGTCCAAGTTGTTTCTCTGTGACTCATTTTTTAAATCTTTAAAATGGGGAATAACAATAGTACCACCTCCTAGGTTTGCTGTGAGGATTAAGAGTTAATCTTTGTGAAGTTCTTAGAATAGTGGCTGACACACAGTGAACCCTACCTAGGTGGTTGCTTAGTGAATCGTGACTGAGAATTTACAACAGGTTTCACAACTACCCCGTGAAGGGTATGTTTCAGACTTTGTTTTATAGATGACTTAAATGAGGCTCAGAGAGACTCACTGACTTGCCTGAGGGCACACAACCCAAGATTCACATTCTGCCCCTGAAATTCAGGCTTGTGTGGTTCTGGATCTCTTGCTCAGGGCCCAGCCTAGGATTCTCTTGGTGGCTCCGGGGCTTGAGGACCCTTGTGGGAGCCTGGGAGGGGGCCTTGGGATAGGCAGTGACAGCCAACTCCTGACCCCCTACACACCCTCCCTGGAAGGGGATGTGCCGATTTCTTGGCAGCCTGATGTCAGGGCGGAATCTAAATGCTGCCCTCAGTGCTCTCATCCTATTGCATGAGCCCACCTGCCAAGCCCACAAGTTGGAGGATGGGAAGGACCCTGGATGGAGGCAACTCCTTTCCCCCTGCCCACCCAGCTCCCCAGAATGCTGCTGAGTCCTCTGCACCCTTCCCTCGGCAGGCTCTTTGGTACTACAGGGAACTGTGCTGCTTGCAGCAAGCTGATCCCAGCCTTCGAGATGGTGATGCGGGCCCGGGATAACGTGTATCACCTCGACTGCTTCGCCTGCCAGCTCTGCAACCAGAGGTCAGTGCTGGACTGGCAGACCCAACACACTCCCCAGACGCCAGTCTGAGGCCTGCTGGGATCGGCCAGGAGCACGGTGGAGGCGTGCAAGCAAATGCAGGTCGCATGTGTGTATGTGGTGGTGCGTGCAGGTTATGAGCGTGCATGTGCTTTATGTGTTTTGTGTGTGTGTAAGCTTGGTAGCCAAATGTGTGCACTTTAATACTGGGTGTGCACATCTGTGTGGCACATTTCTGTGTGAATATAATGAAGGTGTGCATGAGTTTACTGTGTATGCATAGCGAGTGTGCATGTGCATGCATGTGTATTTGTAAATGTCATGTGCAAGTGGGCACATGTGCATGATGGAATTAATATGCATTTGTACATGTGTTTTTAAATGGGGGTGTATGTGTATATGTAATGTGTATGCATGATGAGGTGAGTATGCACGTGCATACATGTTTTATTTTATTTTTTGAGATACAGTCTCACTCTGTTGCCCATGCTGGGGTGCAGTGGTGTGATCTCACAATCTTGGCTTACGGCAACCTCTGCCTCCCGGGTTCAAGTGATTCTCCTGCCTCAACCTCCCAAGTAGCTGGGACTACAGGCGTGTGCCATGACGCCTGGCTAATTTTTTTTTTTCTTTTTTTTTTTCTTTTTTTGTATTTTTAGTAGAAATGGGGTTTTACCATGTTGGCCAGGCTGGTCTTGAACTCCTGATCTCAGGTTATCCGCCCACCTCTGCCTCCCAGATTGCTGGGATTACAGGTGTGAGCCACCGCGCCCAGTCTGTATATGTGTTTGAAATGTGCACGTGCATGGGATGACGTATCCTCCCATCCCCGTACCCAGTGTGTAGTATGTGTTTGTGTGTGCACGTACGTTCCAGTGAGAAGGGGTTCCCAAATCTAGAGGGCAAAGTCCCCTTAGGGAGTGGCCACTCTCTCCTCACCCAACCCTTGTCATTCTGGTTCCAGCCCAGCCTCTTTTCTGGCCTCTTGGCCCCAACTCTGTGCCCTAGCCCTGTGGGAGTCCCTGGGGACCTAAGGAGCCAGAGCCCTTTAGTTCTGGCTGGGGCCTAGCACCAGAAGGCAGGCGCTTTTCTCAGGAGCCCCCAGGTCAGGTAGGTGCTCCCTGAAGTGAGGTTCAGAGGGACCTACAGGGCACGCTGGTCTGGCTGGGGGCTCTGGCCAGACCTGGTGCTAGGAGGGCTCAGTGAACTTACAGCGCCACCTGGTGGTGCGACTGGAATCTGCTGGAACTAGGCCAGCGATCCTTGGGGTCTCACTAAAGGCTTCACCCACCCTGGGGACATCTTTAGGGAAAGGACTGGAATCTTCCATTACTTGGGGAGGACTAGGAGACCAACGAAGGATCTTCCTTGGGTAGGAAAGGAGATACTGGAACAGGGTCATCTCCTAGAAGGATGCTTTAGGTAACCTACCGATTTTGTTTAGAGGAAGAATGAATGCCCTGTACTGAGCCATCCTCTTAAATTGGGGAGAGGGATAGAGGGATGGAAAAAACAACCATTTTATCCCTCCCTCCTTACCCATCTCTGCCTTTTTTTTTTTTTTTGAGACTGAGTCTTACTCTGTTGCCCGGGTTGGAGTGCAGTGGTGTGATCTCGGCTCACTGCAACCTCTGCCTCCCAGGTTCAAGCAATTCTTTGCCTCAGCCTCCCAAGTAGCTGGGATTAGAGATCCCCACCACTATGACCAGCTACAGTTTTTTTTGTATTTTTGGTAGAGATGGGGTTTCCCCACCTTGGCCAGGCTGGTCTTGAACTCCTGACCTTGTGATCCACCCACCTCAGCCTCCCAAAGTGTTGGGATTACAGGCATGAGCCACTGTGCCCGGCTCCATTTCTGCTTTTCTCCATCTGTCTCCCTCTTTGGTCTTTATCTGTTTGTCCTTTCCCTTTCTCCCTCTCTGGGACTGGGGTAGGCTGTTCCTGTACCTCTCCACCAACCCCCCTAATCCTACACTCACCTCCACAGGAGACCTGACTGTGGAAGCCTGTGGCCCAACTGTCTCTCTGTCCTACCACTCCAGGCTACAGGGCCTGGCCAAGGTTGGGGCTGGCCTGGGGGAATTGCCCAGGTGTGCTGTGGGGACTTTAGGCAGTCCCCTCTGGAAGGTTCGAGGAACAAACTTCCCCCACCACCTCCCACATAGCCCACCTCCTAGGCCAGGCCGGGTTCTGTCTGCAGCACCCCCTTACCCACTGGGACCTTCCCATGGCTTCTCTCTCTTGCTTGGATTTTCTAGATTTTGTGTGGGAGACAAATTCTTCCTGAAGAACAACATGATCTTGTGTCAGATGGACTATGAGGAGGGGCAGCTCAATGGCACCTTTGAATCCCAAGTTCAGTAACACCCGGCGCCTGGCCTCCAGGCCCGTCTGTCCATCTGCCCGCCTGCCCACCCGCCTGGCCGGCCAGCCAGCCACTCTGCCAGTGCAGGCTGGCCAGCCACTCTCCTGCCACATTAGAACTTCTCCATCCTCGATGGGAGGGACGGCCCTTCCTCCTCCACCACCGCCCGTCTGTGTATGACCCCTCCTGGGGCCAGGCCGGGCCTGTACAGTCTGTCTTCTGTATATAAATGGGAACATTTATTTTATGAGAAATGTAATGCGATTTTATTACTGGCGTGGATTAAACTTATGAATGTTTCCGGGAGGTTACTCTGCGTTGTTCACATGACTGACACAGACCTGGGGCCCCTCCCCTCTGCCTCTCAAGGGCAGAGCACAGAGCAGGGTGGGGGTCTCCGGCACGTGCTGTTGCCGGGCAGGGGAGCAACAGGCTGGCTTTAGGGGAAGAAGCTGGGAGGAACGAGACAACTCAGAGACCCTAGCTCCAGCCGGAGGTGAGACGTGAGGCATCTTCCCTCTGGGAGAGCACACACTCTGGCCCTGAGTAGGTCCCCAAGAAAAGGGGCAAGATGAAGCCTTCCCTACCCTGTGTTCCATCCCCTCTGTTGAGACCCCCGACTGAGGGCACAGATGGAGACCCAGCTCTGACCTTTTCCCCAGTAGGACCACAAATCTTGTGTCCTCTGCCATGGGAGCACCATGCTGAAACCTCTCTTCCCTTTTAGGGTGACGGACAGTACTTGTTGTCTCTGCGAGCAGCTGGGGCCCAGCTTTCTGCTCTTCTGAGTGAGCAAGAAAAATCCTGTTTCCTTTCGACTCAGCCCATGCAGTCTGGAGGCATCCATTTATTCAGTCAGCAAACCTCAACAAACTCCATGTCTCAATCCCATGCTGCAACCGGGGGTGTCCTGGAGCAAATCAGATGTGAGAATGAATCATAGATCAGACACTGTCCCTGCCCTTGGGGAGCTTGCAGTGGGGGTGGAAAGTGGAAGCCATGTTGCGGGGAAAGCCAGGAAAACAAAGCACATCATTGTGAGGACAGAATGCTGTGCGGAGACCTGGGACAGGCCAGTTTCCTCTGCGGGACACAAGGCCACTTGTGATGACTTAAGAGAGTCATGGATGGACACGTCAATGCACATATGGTCAGACAGACGTGCTGCAGGCAGGAAGGATGGACACACAAGTAGACAAGTGTGTAGGCAGAGACAGGCAGGAGAGGTGGAGGTGGGCAAGCCCCATCACTCACCTCCAGCCACAGCTGCAGCAGACAGGCAGGCATCAGGGCGTTTTCCACCTCCCCCGCTGAGCTAGATTCACTCAAGGCAGCAGGGGTGCTGTCTTGATCTTGGCTGCAGCCACAGTGCAGAGCACAGAGTCTGGAACCGTAAAGGTACCTTCTCACCGGGCAATATTAAAAAGAGAGGCTTCTTGAGTCCCCAGCCTAGACAGAAATAGCTGCACAGACAGGCTCCCTCACTATCAGGCCGCTCCCTTCTCCTTCCCAGGGGCTATTTTCACCCTAGCCATAGCCCAGAGCCCAGGGCACATGGAGCCAGACAATTGCCTCAAGCCCTGCCTGCTCCTGGGCAGGGAATGGGCTGGGCTGGGCTGGGCTGGGCTGGGCTGGGCTAGGCTAGGCTGGATTCCCACCTCACCCTCCCCAGGCCTACTCCTCCACTTGAAAGTGAAAAGATGGCGGGGCCCTCCTGCGGGCTTGCAGGAGGCTACCTCTCCAAGTTGTGGTTTTGTGGTCACTGGCCCAGTCTGTGAAAAGGGATTGCTAGAGTCGAGGATCCTGGGGCAGGAGTTCTCAACTTTGGGGGCATCCGGTTTCTGTGAAGGAGCTGCACCCTGTATGTGCGAGAAGAGAGGCGAAGGCCGGTGGATCTGGCTGCAGTGCGTGTTTGTGTGAGCCATGGGTTCAAGGGGACGGTGAAACTGGGAGTTGTCTGTATGTGAGCACATGGGATTGTGAAGGAGTTTGAGTGAGGAGAGACACAGAGGGCTGGAGTTTATAATGAGGACTTTTCTTGCTCAACATGAAAAAGCAAATGATTTTCCTGCATTGTAGCAGAGTCCGCAGTGCCAGATTCTCCCTGGACCCTTAGGTCTAGGATGGCTATGCCCAACCCAAGGGCCCCAACTCTTACTTCGAGTTTGCTGGAGATAAAGTTATAACACAAGTTAATTACATGGTTATCGAGAGATAACGGAGCCAGTTGAATGCAGTTTCTGGGCAATTACAATTGTTTCCAACAGAGTTACCATATTGCAGCCATGAAATAACATGTCATTTTGCAGTAATTATGTAATTAACTTGTCTCACCACTCTAGGTTGCACAACAGTTAATTCACTCACAATGAGATAGAGTCAAACTCAGGCAGGCAGGGTTTGCAAGTCCCCAAGAACAGAGCTGGCCTTCTAAGAAGACCCCAGCCCCATCCTGCCCACCCCAGACCTTGTCAACGGACTTCCCCAGCTCAACATGGTATGGAATTTGCCAAGTCTGGCATCATGGACCCAGTTATTGCTCTCTCACCGTCTCATCTGGGAAATGGGGATGATCTGATTCCCAGGTCAGCCACGGGCCCCAGATCTACACTGTGAAGTGCTGTGGTTACATGAGCTACAGTCAGCATTGTGGACATCATGAGATCCTCAGTAGGAGACCCTCGCCCAGAAAGTCCAGTATCAGTCCACAGATATCCTGAAGAAGAGGCCACATGGGCCTCATCTTAGCAAGTGTGAAACTGATAAGAGGGTAGGGATGAAGCAGAGAGAGACCAAGCTCATTCTGTAACAGAGCAACTGGGATAGCGGGAATGGCCACCAAGGTCTGGGGATTATGCACCTGGAGAGAATTCGCAACACCCAGGAACACCCAAGGGTGACACAGGAGAAGCCTGAATTCCTCCCCCATCACTGCAAAGGAGAAACTTGGTTAAGTGTAGGGCATGAATTGTGTGGACTTGGCTCTCCTTAGGGGTTGTACCCACCACAGATGATTGGTGCAGGGAGGGAGAGCTGAGTGTGAACTGTTAGAGGCTGCAGCAGCTCTCTTCTCAGCCTGGGGCATGTGGGCGGTGGGGAATGTGGGCCACCATTGAACCACAGCTGTGCACAAATCTCCCTTTCCTCCAGCCAGATCTTGGGATCTCATCCCCTCTCCCTGCCTTCCTTGGTGGCCTGGGGAAGAGATACCCTAACAGGGGGCCTGAGCCCATGAAATATGGCACCTGCTTATGCTCCCACTCCTTGGCCTGAAGCTGGACTGCGCAGCCCATGTTTGGAAAGAAGTTTGATTCCAATCTTAACACTGCTGCAGAGCCCATTATGAAATCTCCTATGAGTCCTGTCTCCTCCTGGGCCTGCTCCCAGAAACCTTCCCCCACATCATGAGACATGCGGAGGCCACAGGCACAATCCACATGACATTCCTGCCTGGGAGATCTCATCTCTACAAGGAGACAATTGCTCTTTCCCTTAAAGCTGTCAGAGACCATTCATGGCCAGGATTTTTATTCTAGGGCAGCATCCTTCTCCTTCATGACTCAAGACTTCCAGTGGGTGCTGCCTAGACCCCAGCTGTCTGAGCTTATGTGCTCTGAGCCCAGGACAAACAGCCAGGTCCTCGGACTATCCCCCGGCACTGGGTTTTGCAGAGCTTATTGCCTTTGCCAAGAAAGCCTGGGCCCCTCAGAGGTTCCAGAGCCCATTGGCTGCCTGTGGCACCTGGGCTGGGGTCTGTGCCTCCGTGGTCCCCATGCCTTCTCCGGGACACCACATTCCAGAGAGGAGCTGGTTCAGGGGCTCCTGCCTGGGGCTTTCTTTGCAGACTCTTACCTCCTGGATCTGCTCTGGAAGCATAGTGAAGCCTGTTGGGGTGGGGTAAGGGATAGCTCTGGGGTTTCCTGAAGTTCCAGCAAGTCCAGTTTTGTCTTCCAGAGCTCAAAGGTGCTAGGGAACTGAGGCAGTTCTTGGGTCACATTTGTTGTTCTAATGGGTCTGCCTGCTGCACTGGGGGAACTGAAGGGCTCTCCTGACAAGGGGCCAGAGAGCTCCTTGTGATTACCTGGGCCCCCTTTCTCCGGCTGCCACCCTGATCCCTGAACCCCCGGCCCATCTGCCAGGTACTAGGTGGGATCAGGGATCAGCGACAGAGCACTGAGACACAGGGACAGAGGAAGAGATGAGAACGAATAGGTTGTGGTGCAGTGGAGGGAGAGAAAGAGAGATGGAAACAGAGAGGGGGAGATGGAAAGAAATGAGGCAGAGGGCAGGAGAGGAGACAGAGGGGGAGGGAATGGGAAAAGCATCCCAGAAGAAGTTTCTAACTTCAGGGAAGGTGTGAGGTGACAGCAGTGCGGAGGAAAGGGCAGCGTGGCATGATGGTTACATGCATAGGCCCAGGAGCCAGATTATGTGAGTGCAGATCCTAGCTCTCCACTTGGCAGCTGCACAGCCCGGGGCAGCTTGCTTAGCTTTCATCTTAGAGATTAGGCCTTTCCTCATCTGTAAAGGGGACTGATGATAGTGCCTGCACCTCAGGTTGCTCCCAGTGGTAGATGAGCCATCACATGGGAGGTGCTCACAGCTGCAGCAGCTCCTGGTAAACACCAGAACATGTAACTGCTGCTGGGAACCTTCCTTTATACAACCAGCACTAGGTCTGCTGGTTTGAGGCCTGGCTCACCGCAGCAGAGTCCTGCGTCACAGGTGACTCCTGGGCATCTGAGAGCTCTCAGGAGAGGGGCACTGCGTGCTGGCACCAATGGGGGAAATCCAGCCCAGACAAGGCAGGCTTTCATAAAAACATGCCCAACCCGCTTAAGCCTCTCAGCAACTCTATCTTACAGTTGAATCATCCCCATTTTACAGTTGAAGAAACTAAGGCTCAAAGAACCATTCTAGTTAAATAATATTCAATAGCATCTGAACTTGAATTGAGGCCTGGTCTGACTCGAGTCCATGTGAAACTGCCACCTAGAGGCCGCTCTGGGCAGTGGGAGGATCTGGGAGTCCAGAAGTAGATTTTATCCTCACTAAACCGCCAGATCCTCTCCCAGTCTGCATTCCCTTTTCTCTCTACAACTCACGCCCTAGCGAGGGCTTGGTGCACAGAGGGGAAGGGTCCTCGGACACTTATGTTCCTCACTGCACATCCTGCATGAGCATGTCACTGGGCCTGGCCTGTGCTGGCCACTGGGTGGGATGAACAATTCCAGATGCTGAGCAGAGGCAGTGCAGGCAGCCTGTCCCATGCCTGAACTGAAGGTTTATCAGTGGGACAGGCCCCAGTGCG